CTTGGCAGCATTCGGCTGAGTTTTAAGCCACTTGTTCAACTCGCGAAGATGGGATTCATAGATATCCCGATAAAACGTTACTGTGAAGTCGTATTGTATCCCAGCATACCCGTTGAGTACATATTCGATCTTGATTCCAGTATTAGCAGTCATCTGGGTGAGAGACGTGCATGCTCACTGCTGTTGCTGCAAATGAAATTAAATGTTGCATAACATTGTCCTGATCTGCATCAATCACTGTCCCCCATGACAATGACCAATCAGCATCCTTGTAAAGATGCTTGATCAGTTTAGTGAAGGGGGGTGATCGGAATCGACCACGTCGTTTCTAATCGTCGTTAGTAGGCACGACGTTTCCATCACGTTCCATTCAGTGCTTTGCGCTTACCTCGGTATCTCTCCATTCATTGAAGTAGAAGTTTGTCCCACTGAGGAGAGCGCGTGCAAGAGCCGAGTTCTCTTCGCAAGGCTGGGGGCTGAATTTATATTCTTCGTCGACGTACTTCTTCGCAAGTGTCTTGATTGTGTTGCGGAAAACTGAAGGCTTGTCCCTCATCATCTTATTACTGTTAGTTACGGGTAATGTAGTTTAGATGAGGGCCTACTTGGTGAATGTGGCCGAATTGTACAAGTTTGTGGTCATATGTAGGAAAACGGTCCTGCGCAGCCTTATTCGCAAGACCGATGAGATCGTATGCTTCCATTTCGTTTGGAAAAGCTTGGGTGGTTGCCAGTAGGAAGCACAAGTGGTGCTTGATGCACGATAGAATCGCCCGGAGATCATTGTTCTGCTGCGTTGTAAGTTCAAGACCCAATTGATCGGGTTCAGGATCCATAGACGTAGCCACAGACGAGCCACGGAGGGAAGTTGAATCGGGGGTACGTGAGGTGGGAGGTGACTTCGATCTGGAAGGCTGGGCTGTTGAGAGCGCCTTGTGCGATGTGTGGATGTCCAGGGTTTGCCCTGATGTTGGGGTCGGGGGCGAAGCCAGTTGCGAGGCTACAGGCTCGCGCGAGGGCCTAGAGGCCTTGGCCTCGACCTGAAGGCATGGTTAGCGGGTGCATGTTTAATAAGCTTTAAATTACCTTTGTACGTTTTTGCTTGGCCCGTCCGCTGTCGGAGACTGGGCTGTCATCCTCGACGTCGCTAGATACTGCAGGTTGTTTTCCTTTCCTAAGAGAGCTTCTCCTGCGAGTCTGCGCGGCCTGTAGCTTCTGACTAGTCCTTCTTGTTGGAGGCATCACTGGGAATGGAGAAAAAAGAGCGACGGCGTGACCAACAAACCGTCCTCGTGATGTCATTTATGTAATTACTATCAGTATCTCTAGTGTCTAGAACAATGGTTGGACGAAAAACAAATTCATTGTATTCATAGTCACATCGATATTTTCCAACCTGGTGGCGGACCCGAGCCTCGCATTGAATGAACGACGTTCTCGCCACTGATCATTCAGTTTGATATACCCTCCCCGAGAGCGCACGCGGTTGGTGATTTGTTTCGGCCTTCATGTCAGCTTTCAGGAGATATCAATGGTTGCAAAAGTGGTGAATTGTATCACCTGTGCCTGAACCAATTCGAACCCCAGATCAACGAGCGATCAAATAGTCAGAAAAAGTTAAGACACGGAAGAACGACTTTCCAGCTTACTGTACTCGTCAATTGTCCGATCTGAGCTCTTCTTACTTACAGGGTCAGAAGCATTTGCACGCCGCAACATTCATTATAACCGAATGATTGATATTTGCATATCATCGGTTTCATAACGAACCGAGGCGGTGCGTCGATCGCGAGAGTTTTTTTGATAAGGCTACTTCAAAGAACTCAGTTTAAGAAACAAGAAAACTTACTGCCGCACACATTGATAGAACTCACAAGTATCCTGCCATTGTAAGCCACTCGTCCAATACGAGATTCGCGGCAGAACGTTGCTGTGGAATTGTGCTGCATTACATGCACCCATCAAGTGAAATAAGACTAACTCCAAACGTAGTATGGATTCACGAGTCCCCGATATCTATTCCAATGGAAGCTGGTAACCTGCCTGGTTTGGAGTCAGGGTTGCCATCTCATGTCACCAGCTGTTACAGGTTGCCTCCCTTTCGCGAGTGAGCTTCCAACTTCTGCCTACTGTAGTCCTTGTTGGAGGCATGACTGGATGGAAATATTTGTCCAGCGAGGCTGATAAACCTTCCTCGTGATGTCATTTACGTCTGGCTTTTTGTACTAATAGCGCGGGTCCAGCCGGACGACCGTTTCTCGCTCTCTGATTGGCTCAAGCCTTAAGGTTTTAACCTCAAAACCCCGAGTTCCGTCGGTTCCGACGCGGTCATTGGCTCCCATTTCGCACTCATCTCCGGAATTGTGCTCATTTGACATCCATTTGCACTTTGGCTGTATTTTCTTAGTACCTAATCGTTTACTTAACACGTCGGCTATCTGCCAGGTGCACTCGGTCGACACACTTCCGCAATGATCGCGATGGCACACACACTACACGCCCTAGAACCGTTCAATGTACAGAGTCTCACTAGTGCAGTGAAGAGCGTTCTCGCTCTCTCCCATTACCTGGTTGTGTAAGTGAAATGATAATCATGTTGAACGAAACACCGTTCTCTCTCGCTCTGCTCAAAATATCAATCTGGGTTCGAATTCTCCCCTTCACCATCTACCTGGAATAGAAAAAAATTAGAAATCTCCTCTGCATGAATGTGCCGATGCGGGGACGATCACGAGACCCACATAATAACAAAAAAGCTCAGATTTTGCGCGTCCACGGAGCGACAACAAACTGGGTAAGAGTCTCAGGTCTCAAACACGCTTGTACTAGATTCCCAAGGCCATCCCTCGACGATTCCGAACCGTGGCTATCTCTCTCCACTCCATCGATGATTCCAACTCGACTCTATGCGTCATGTCACTTCTCCACAACAAATCACTCCGATGCGTATGGGTGATCCCTACCTGTGAACCACTGAACCAAACATCGAGCGAGAAGTCTCTGCATAACTAGAGGACGTAAATCATCTTGCGTCTTACAGGACGGTGGATCCCACCATCAAGGACTATGGAAAGTGACCTGAATGGAAACTGCGACGCAACTTTATTGGCCACTTGACGACGCTGCCAAGCTTAATCTCAACCACGGAGCAGTTGAATGAATCAGATGTTGAATCAAGGCTTCGTTATAGTTCATCTAGTGCCTGATATCGCGTCTAACGCGTAGGATCGTTGGTCAAGCATTGGGACTTCTCAACATACATGTAATGTACAGGCGCAGGTCACAACCCCAGGAAGCCATCTTCCCCAATAGAGGCTGTAACCCGGCTAAAGAAAGCAGTCCCCCACTCGCGTATGCTCTCTGTTCACTGGAAAGTTGATCCCCGTTTACGGCGAAGCAACATGCTGGAGGACGCACTTGGCATCGGTGACGACACTCGGCTATGCAGATGTATCCAAACAGGAGGCACGGATTAACCATGCGACGCAATCATATCGCAATCGACTGACTCATTTCATATCGCGTTATTGAGATGAATGTTAAGGTACAACCCGAACTCCCTTCCGGAATCACACGTTGCAACTGATCTCCCTTCGCTTCTAAAGGTGACAGCGAAAGAATGAGCTCAATGAGGCGCGCAAGGCCGACGGCGCCCCAACCACTGTATTGAAGTGTTCTATATACATTTGTTTCAAAATCAAGGGAACCCCATGCTGTCGCGCTAATGTCATGCCATCCTAACCGCTCCAAGGTGTCCGTACTCCAGGCCAGGAACTGTCCCAAGAATCGGCTCCCGGATCCACCCAACAGAATCCGCATTCCTCGCACCATCGCGCCACTTGAGAGGGATCGCAATGATTATGTACGAAGAGTGCCTCGATGGGATCCATGAGTCCTGAAATCGTACAGACACTTGAACGAAGCCCATATCGTATCCGACGTTTATATTAGAGCATCGGATCATGAGAATGGGCTGCAACAGAGGATGTCCTGCATTGGACGCCAGACCATGAGAGCCTCGACCTGTGTTACAAGAGAGTTGGTTACTTTGACATGGGGGATATGAGAACGGTGCTTGTCGTCGTGAATGGTGGGAGTGGGGTGAAATCTTAATGAACTGGGGTCAGCGACATCGGACAAGAGAAGCGCTTAACGTTGAGGGGAGGTAGTGGTCCGTAGACATAACAAATGGAAGGAGATGTGGTTAGTAATAAGCCTAAACGAGTAGGGTGTGGAAATACTTACCGTCGAGAACAAGTAGCCATAGACCAAGATGTAGTTAGTAATAAAGGAATGCGCATACTTACCGTCGAGAGAAGTGGTCTGTAGACCTAGAAATGAAAGAGGAAGGGTAAGGAGTGCGCATACTTGGTTGGGGTCAAATCCTAATGAACTGGGGTCAGCGACATCGGATATATAATAAAAGCGCTTATCGTTGAGGGGAGGTAGTGGTCCGCAACGAATGGAAGGAGATGTGGTTAGTAATGAGCCTAAACGAGTAGGGTGTGGAAATACTTATCGTCGAGAACAGGTAGTCCATAGACCAAGAATATGTAGTTAGTAATAAACCTAGAGTAGGGAATGCGCATACTTACCGTCAAGAGAAGTGGTCCGTAGACCTTAAAAAATGGAAGAGGATGTGGTTAGTAATAAGCCGAAATGGGTAGGGAATGCGCATACTTACCGCCAAGAGTAAGTGGCCCGTAGGCCTAAAAAACGGAAGGGAATGTGGTTAGTAATAGGTAGGGAGTGCGCATACTTACCGTCAAGAGTAAGTGGCCCGTAGGCCTAAAAATGGAAGAAGATGTGGTTAGTAATAAGCCTAGACGGGTAGGGAGCGCGCATACTTACCACCGAGAGCAGTGGTCTGTAAACCCAGAAAAATTAAAAACGGAAGAAGCTGTGGTTAGTAATACGCCTAAAGGAATAAGAGGCGAAAATACTTACCGTCGAGGTTATTGATTACATGCGGCAGAGGCGCACAAGGAGATGGAAGATCCCTAGAGAACAAAATAACAAAATTAGCAGCGGGCGTGGGTTGCTGTGAAAGGCAAAACTGTCAGTAGTCCCACGGAAGGAAGAAAGGAAACAGAAAAAAGGAAACCACGCACCTTGCGACCGTCCCGGAAGAGCCAGAGCTATGTACCTAGCCGCTCCCCCGACCCGCTTTGGGTTTCGGAAGAGCTCGTATGAAACTAAGCACAAGTCCCCAGCAGGACCAAGGACGGCCCAAATTTTCAAAAAGCAAAAGAGGAAGAAAGAGGAAGGAAATTTAAAAGGGAACTGCATTCCCCGATCCAATCCCTTCCAGCCTAGGCTATACTCCTGACGACATACAGCACTCTGATGTGGTGCATATTTCGCCGCAGGGCATGACGTTCGGCATTGGGGATCCAGGAACATGCACATCGCATTATACAGCGCTCTGATGTGACGCATATTTGGCGGGGCATGGCCTGGCACAGAGGCATACGGCATACAGCACTCTGATGTGGTGCATATTTAGGCACGGGATGATCTCTGGGGAGGGGGAAAGCAGGAGGAGAAAGAGAAAGAGAAGATACAGCCGGCAACGCATTTCGATTGGCCGGCATATTTAAAAAAAGGGGAACATATGATACAGCCGAAAACGCATTTTTGTCGGTCGGCATATTTGGAAGGCATGAAGGAATAGGGGCATAGGGAGGCATAGGCATAGAGTATACAGCCGAAAATCGGTCGGCATATTTGGGAGACATAGAGGAATGCATAGGGGCATAGGGGCATAGGGGCATAGGGGCATAGGGGCATAGAGGCATAGAGGCATAGAGGCATAGAGGCATAGAGGCATAGAGGCATGGAGTATACAGCCGAAAACGCATTTTGTCGTTCGGCATATTTGGAAGACATAGAGGAATGCATAGGGTATACAGCCGAAAATGCGTTTCCATCGGTCGGCATATTTTCAAGTAGAGGAGAGAAAGTAGGAGCCAGTGAGGAAGCGGGAGAGAGTGGCCACTGAACGCAGTGGGGCCATCCATTTCGGGAGAGAGATAAGGGAATGGGAACGTGAGAGTAGTCAGGATGCTAGCGGGAGAGATAAATGAGTGACAAGGTCAGTGTAGAACAGAAACTTATAGCGGAAGAGAGTGGCCGCTGAACACAGTGGGGCCATCTATTTCGAGAGAGATATTAGGGAGTGGGAAGGCGAGAATGTCAGGATGCTTATAGCGGGAGAGATAAACGAGTGACAAGGTCAGAGTAAAAAAGAAACTTATAACGGAAGAGAGTGGCCGCTGAACACAGTGGGGCCGTCTATTTCGGGAGAGAGATCAGGGAGTGGCCAAGTGGGGACAGTTAGGCCGGGTATATTCCATAGGAGGGGTATATTCTACATGGAGGGTATCCACGCAGAGGGGTACATATATTCCATAGGAAGGGTATATTTCGTGCGGAGGACATCCACACAAAGGGGTATATTCCATGGGAGGGGTATATTCCACATGGAGGGCATCCATGCAGAGGGGTATATTCCATGGGAGGGCTGTGATTCCCTGGGGGGGAAAGAGGAGGTCCCTCTCAAGGACTCCTCAATTTATGCACGAAACCAGGCATATTCTGTTTGTTTTTGTTTGTTGTTTCAGAGCACACGAAAGCTGCCATGAAGTAAACAAAGGACAGGATTTTCATGACAAATGTGACTGAGACACAGATGCCGAGACCAAAAATCCAGTCCAGCTGACTTTGAATGTATTCCTCGGTGAAATCCCACACTTCTCCTTTAGACAGTATGTTTTGCTTTTGAATTTATTTTCCATCCCCACCATTCTGATGATGACAAATGCATAGAAGACAGCATTACAGAGTCTCGAACCGGATACTGGACGAGCTCATTGTTTTGACAACATGCTATTTAACTCCGCTTCAGATCTTTTACTTCCGCATGAAACAGAAACGGCTCAGTCCAGCAAAATATGCCTGTATTCCAACAGGCGAGTAGTGCGATGTAGCCTGCTGAATTGATTACCTTGATTTTTCGTCGGGCCTAAAGGCGGCCCGAATTCACAAAGAGGAGAGTGGGAAGGAATGTACAAAGTTCATTACTGGGCTCCCATATTAGAGATCGGTCGATTTACATGCACCACCCAACCATGATTACACTCATGATCCATTCAAATTTATGGGTCTCGGTTTTCGATCAGATCATACCATTTGGTTCCCCTGTGCGCGATGTGATGGCTAGAGTTCACTTAGGTGCGCGTCCGGTCACCCATTCACGGGCGCATTGGATGTGTTGGAAGGAATCATAATGCGTAACACAGTCTGGGCGACATTCGTGGGACAGCAAACTAAATCGGGAGTGACAAGTCGGATTCTGATTAGGTAGGCCGGGGACCACGTGAGGTTCTGGTTGCGGGGTCACGATGTCGTTTAGGTGGTATGCGTATGAACGCTCAATCCTTTCTCTGCTCCATTCTTCGTGCGACACTGTTGTCCCCAGGCCTCTGCACACTCTCCTGTTCACACGTGCCAGTCTTTGCACTGAATCTCTCAGTTAGATCCTCATATTGAGAGGCCAGATCAACTTTTCGGTTCTGCCTGTCGCTGCTGAACTGTCGGATATCGACCGCCAACTCTCAATCGCTTGTAAACCACTCTCACGGCTCAGCCTGTGGCCTTTGAGTCTCACGGTGGGATCGGCTTGTCCCTGTGCTTTCAATAACTCTACAGCGTCACTATTTGCACCCGTGGTCCTTATCAAACTGCCCATACAAAACTCCCATATCTCATCTCATTTCAAACTCCGAGGGTTCCTTATTCCTCCTCGCAATATTCCCGCAATTTTTGTGAGAGCTAGAGACGCGACGAATTCCGCCCTTAGGCAACTCAAAGCCCTCAACAAAGCCGCCCCATCGATATTACCTCAGAGATGTCCTTGGTGAACAGAGCATACGTGGGTGGGTCAGACCTTGTAAGAAAATAGGGTCATGGGATAAATAATTGGCCGAATTCGTTAATATTATTTCCAATCGCCACTATTATTGGTGGCGGACCTCAGCCTAGCATTGCATGAACGACGTTCTCGAAGCCAGCTCAGTTTGATATAGTTTTACCCTCGCTGCAAGTGACACGCGATTGGTGATTTATTTAGCCTCCGAGAGATGTTGAAAGTGGCAAAATAGTAAATTGTACAAATATACGGTGAACCAATTCAAACCCCAGATCATTGAGTGGAAACGTAATTAGAAAGAAACCAAGAACAAGGATCAAACTTTCGAGCTTGCTGTACTCGTCCTGGGGCTCTGCATCGACAATAGGCCAGCACCTTCAAGCGCCTCTCGAATTTTCAGGTCAGGATTGGGGGACCACTTGGAGCGTGCACGAATTTGCGGCCCACTAGTAAAAAACGAGCAGTGAGTATCAGCTACTCGGTGTCCATCGAGATTTGGCGTTAGTTCACATGACTCACTATTTGAGGAAGAGCCACGGAATTGGCGCGAGGAGGAGGGAGAAACAGCCAAGAAGCGTACATGACCACTGAATCCCCATGTGGTGAACCATCTGGGGTGTGAAGAGGGGAAACCTTTTTTCAATACGTGATGTTAATTTTATCCTTCCGATCAAGGGAGAACAACGTACGCAAATGCAGTCATAGCACGGAAAAATGCATTCGCACCCAACGCAGACGCCGCGTAAATGAGGTAGGTATCTGAAAAATCATCTCCCATGAGAAAGACGGGAACTTGATCCCAACTTGAATGGGCACTCGCCAATAATGTAACCCAATAAGCTGACGAAACTCAAGTTGATCGCCATCCCAATAGGAATCGTCGACAGAGCTGGAACATACCACGGGATGGAGGAGTACTCTCCTGTCCATCCCAACCAAAAGATTCCAATAACCAACAAAGGTCCACCGATAATTGCAGCGTCAAGACGTTCCTCTGGTGGAGGGAAGCCTTGCCATAAGGGCGCGAGATGAACAAATTTCCTTTGTAAAGGTACGTTAATGAAGCCACCGAGACTGGCGAAAGTCAGTGGTTAGCGTGGTCCTTGGCACCGCCTAAAGATTAGAAGCCCTACGTGGTGCCTATCCCTATACCAAGGAAGATAAGTCCTGTGTTCTCGATATCAAACCCGCGACGTTCTCCCCAAATGATTGGGAACAGCTCGAATAACCCAAACAGAATTCCTAGAGTCAAATTGAAATTTGGCGCCCGCGTGTGACATGACGGAGGGAAAGAAACACGTACCATAGATCAAGCTCGAGTAAAGTGTAAGCAGGATCAAGATAGGCTCCAAAGCCATGATGACGAAAGGGCGAATAATTGCCTACGAACCAACCATGTGAGGCATAATATTCAACCAGACACAACAGAGGGCTGTACACGCTGGGCGATACCCCGGAAACTCCAATCAGCCCCTTCATGAGCGGTATACAAGTCCTTATTCTTTACCGGATCCCTAGTTGATGAGAAAGTTTTGTTACGATGATTGAGGTTGAAAGATCGGGTTTGCTCACTCCTTTCGTAATCTTCGAGCCTGAAACAGGATCAGCGTTGCAACATGTAAAGGATTTAGGCAGTTCGACGTACTTTCCGAGTGAGAAGGACAGGTGCGAATGTCTCCGGAAGAAAAGCGGTGCATAAAACCCAGCAGACAAAGGAAAATCCAAACAGGCACCAAAACTGATATCAATCTTCAGCTTTCAAAATTACATTTCAGCCTGAGACATTGCTTACCAACCAACGCCACCCTTGATGCCCGCTCTGGACCAGGTAGCCCCCAATCACAGGACCAAGCACGGACCCAACGAATACAGACGTTGCGTAAATACCTACTCCTTTTCCTCTTTCCACGGGCCCCCACAAGTCACTCACGACACCACCTCCATTGGACAATGGGGCAGCGGCAAATAGTCCACTCAAAAATCGGGTAATGAAGAGCGTTGCGGTATTGTCAGCCAATGCTTGACCTGTTAGAGCACACCACATCGTAAACATACAAAACATGGCCTGTAATTCGCTTACCGATGATAAATAGGGTAAAACCAGAGAAGGAGATGATGAAAACAATCCGACGTCCATACATCTCTGAAGTCGTTCCCCAAATGATGGGTCCGATGGCAAAGCCAAGAAGAAAGAGGGATGTGATCAACTGGCTGGCCACGAGGCTGATTCCAAATCGTCTGGAGAGAGAAAAAACTGAAGCTGCTGGTGCAGACGAGCAGAGCGTCCTGTTGATTGTTTTTCGCATTGAACTGCTGGCTCCAGTTGAGTAATATGTCTTCACTCACACGTTGATAGTAAGTAGGCCAGTGAGTGCCGTCAAGAACTGTTTATATCTCGGGCTCCAATTCTTGGGATTCGCAGGATCTGGATGTAACGAAGGTTACGAAGCACGTCATTTAGAATATCAATGTCCTCCTTGCCATTGGGGCCGTCCCAGTTGACGAGATTGGAGTCCTCTTCATCAATATGTTCATCCACGGTGGTGGCTATTCTTGAAAGTGCCACGGAGACCACCGATCTTGCATTGCTTGTTGTCCTGCTCAGAGTCCTTCCCGTCTCGGAGGAGCATCTCGGTATGACAACGGGCGTCCGCTTTGGGGTCGGATGGCCCCACTTTTCCTGGTAGTCTTCTGGAATGCTGTCAAGGTTCGACATCCTGGACCAAACGTTCAACAACCGGAAGGAGCAGAAGAACCGTTCGTGGATGAGGGGTGCGTTTGGTGCCTTGGAGGGTAACGCTTATGAACCTTTTGGAAAGCCTAGGGACGCTAGGTCCGGTAGGCCTGCCTTATGGTGGTGTTTAATTCTGATTCTAGAGACCGAGCCATGTAACTACCCCAGGCCATCGAATACGTTGAGACAGTCGGTGGCGGCTTGCGAGAGTATGCAAGATAGTATGTCTTTGGGATGTGAGGTGGCTGTCAGCCGCCAAACTTGGTTCCCACACTTGAATTGCGTGGCCAACGGCATGCACAAAATAACAAAAGCTTCCAGTGCCTAGTTCGCCTTTGGGTTTCACCAATACAGCTCTTCCTGTAAGTACACAACTGAGGTCGGTATACAGAGGCACGGTTTCCTCCGCAGCGTGAGCTTAACTCGTATTCGCCGATCTTGACGCAAATCCATTACCAGGCTACAATTGTTATGAGGGTTCCCCTCAAACTGGATGGCCGAGCTTGCAGCGCCTTCGGCGCTGCGCTGCAAGCTTGGCCATCCAGTTTGGGAGGAACCCTCTAACAAACCATACTGCAATTTCAAATTAAATATGCTATCTTCATTTGTATGCAAAGTGTTTAGTTCAGGCAATGGTCTATTTGATTGCAGTAAATAAACTCCATACTGTTGGAATAACCATCAGGGATGGAGTAACCTCCCTGGCATAATGGGTGAGTAGTGTATGGATGCATGCTAGAGGTCCTGGGTTCGATACCAGGCTTGTCCATTTTATGTCATTCATCCAGTCACCTGATTTACATTAGTTGAATTCATGACATAAGTCTATAGCACTAGCAACATGAATTTCTTCACATACCCAATCCAAGAATCTGAGCCATATCCATGCATTCAGTGTCAGGGATCGCTTGTCAGTCCAAGTCAAGTATCACCCAAAAACCTAGTCATAGACAAAGCTGAGGTTCCAACCCTCAGCAACACATAGGGCTATATACATGAGAGATATGAATCAATTGGAAGAAAAAGGATCAACAGAACTAAATGATGAGGTAGGCAACAAAGTAATAAAAACAGGGAGATACTCAGATCAAGGGGTGGAGTCAGATCAGGGAAAGGGGTGAGAGAGTTATGGGCTGATGCAGCTACATGCAGTGATATATGTAGTCATATGCTATGTCTCTGACATTCAGATTGGCCCACAAAGATATGCCAATATGGGTCTGATCTGCTAGGAGCCCTAGATGTCAGGTAGAGGGAGGGTGCATGGACACTCCTCCACATTAAAGTCTTGGCAGGTGACTGATAAAAATGGAAGCAGGATTGCATATATACATGTTACCCAGGGAAATCAATGTTATTAAGTTGCCATCATAGTGTACCTGATATTAATCAGAGACAGCTAGCCATGTGTTCTGCACTTGCTCACTGTCCTTACTCCACATTGGTCACTGCAGGGGCTGTCCTGCTCTGCTCCATATGGCATTATTAAAGAGATACGTTCCCACCACACCACAGCCCCATACCCAACTTCCCAACCCCCTACCCGACCCAACCCACCAACCCAAACCCCCAACCACCAACCCAACCCATGGGCAATTACTTTCCAGGCATGCATACACTCACTCACTCACTCACTCACACAGCACACAGCACACACAACACAGCACACAGCACACTCAGCACTCAGCACACTCAGCACTCAGCACTCAGCACTCAACACTCAGCACTCACACACACACCACACACCACACACCACACAGCACACCACACTCACACACCGCACTCACACACCACATACCACACCACACTCACACACTGCACTCACACACATAATACCACACCGCACTCACACACTGCACTCACACCCCACACAGCACTTGCACACCACACACACACTCAGCACACTCAGCACTTGCACACCACACACACACTCAGCACACTCAGCACTTGCACACACACAGCCCTTACCCAAACAAATGCATCCTTGCAAGCTCAGCCAACAAACCACTGTCTCTGTCATATCCGTACAATCCCGACCTCCACTCCAGGCTCCTGGAACTCCGAAACTGACTTCTGGAGTCCTACTTCCCTTCTGTCACCTTCTCCTTGCCGACTCCCAAGAGGTTATCCCACCTCCGGCTCCGACACCACCTTCGGTCCGACTCTGGAACATTCCAGGTCCGACCTCAACCTTGACACCTCCCAGACAAGCACACAACACCTATGCTCCCAACTCTGGACCTCCACTCCGGAATCCTGTTTGTGTCTCCATCTCTGGAACCTCTGGTCCTAGCTCCGACCTCGGACTTTGACCCCACCTCTGCTTATACCCATTGCATTGGTTAGCTCATTCCATTTAATTACGTTTGCCAATATTCCGGAGTTTAACTTTCGAGTTTGGACTTTCCAGACTTACTTCAGACCTTGCAACTATTGCATTGCTCCATTCAATTCCGCTATTCTCCCTCATTCCTATTTGGGCTGCTGCTTCCTTTCTATTCAGTCAGCTAGCCATTCCCCACTCCCATCCTCCTTCCTTCCTCCTTGGGCCTTGGCCCTTCACTCCTCCTTTGGGAAACACCATTGAGTCAAACCCTAGACCCTCGGTGTTGTTCCTCCTTCCAGCTCCCTTTGTCTCCTTTCGGAGTACCCTTGCTCCTTTTGATTCCGGACCCCTCCTTATATACAATGTACTTAGTAACTTGTAACCTCAGTCTGAAATCGACT